GCAATTTCCTCCACAAATGCGCAAAGTTTTGATCTATTCTGTTCTGGTAGGCTGTCGCATAGCAGTTGTGGGTCAGCGTGGTTCTCTTGTGCCATTTCCTTGCAGGCAGCCGCCATCTTAGGTATGAAGTGTGGCGCTGTGCTGTCAGCGTGAGCTCCCTTGGGTCTGGAGCTGGGCAAAGAGTCTCTCACCGCATTGGACCGGAATGACCCCCACTGGTCCGGGTGGGGGGGGTGAGGGAGCAGCTGGGTGCAGCAGTCGCTTAAGAGCTTTGAGGGCCGGTAGAGCAGCCGTCTTTCTCCAGCTCAACGTGGTGTAGGCCCCAAGCGTCTATGTCCGGGCTGTCCGGTGTCTGGAACGCTCGTGTGGGGTATAGCTTACTTAGCAGGAGTCTGTCGGTTTGGGTACAAATTGATTAGGTGGCCCGTGCTTCGGTCCCGATTTGTATTATCAGGCCTAGGAGCTCTTACATAGAAGATCCATTCAGCTCCACAGCCAGACCCCGCCCCGAAATTTTATTTTTAAAGAACAGAAATACTTTGATAAAGGTTCAGTTGCATAAAACAAGATGTTTATAGCAATGACAATTCTCATTTTGGTGAATAAGCCTCTGAGAATAGATGAAGAATTTATTTGAAACTCATGAACACATTAGCCAGAGATAAGAGATGTAATATGTGCCGCTCAGAATACAAACACTGGACTCACAAACTGAGAATATTTACATGGCTAAAGAAGAATTTTAACATTCCCCTTCGATATTAGTCAATGTATGGCCATTAAAATAGCTACACTAATTTTTACAAATTTTGGCAGTTATAAGCAGCTGCTGTGTGCAAAGATACAGTAACCAGGAAACACTATGCACTGTATCAATAGTTTATTAAGTTGCTTAGAGTGTCCCTGTAAATTCAGTATGTCAATATAAATTCTAATCAATAGTGAACTCAAGAGGAAAGTCGTAGCTAAAAGCTGGGACTTAGCGACAAAAAATATTTTCATTAATACAAGGTATATTTTCTTTCTTAAAACTGAAACAAACACAACGTAAAATGCAAATAAAATAATATCTGATAGTTGGGACATATTATGGCATTTGCAGTAAATCCACTATTTGCATTAAAGTAATAAAAAATAAAAATGATCTAAGTGAAGAAAATCCTTAGAATCTCATAATTGTATTTGCATATCAAATGAGACGTGAACATGGGTACTAAGCAATATTTATTTACCTTCAGCTGAATCGCGGATCACTCACCAGGCATTTGTTAAGCACATTATCAACTATGGCAGATTGAGGGCAGCAAATTTAAGCTTAAGGATTTAAATGGTATTTGGGAAAGCCAATGTACATTTTAATGAGCGGATTCATAGTTTGTATCTATTAATTATTTTGACAGATGAGCTTTAGAATCTCTAAAGTTTCACTAGACTTTAATGATTTTGTTTAAAAAGGAGAGTAGACAACAGCACAGACAAACACACACATACACAAGCCAACACAACAAGCGATGAACAACACACAATATTTGGGGATCACTCATTAAATAATGAATTGAAATTAATTGAAAACCAATTTGTAAAACCTGTTAATTTCCATTATAAGTATAGTCACAACTTGGCTTTTTTTAACCTAAATTGTATTTTTTTTCTTTTTTTAGTTTACTACTATTTGGAGTTTATTTTGTCTCTCTCTAAAAGGAAAAAAATAAAGCACAATAAAGCTGTCATATTTTTTTTTTTTCCTTTCAGTTTTGAAAGACTTGAGATTTGTTTCGCTACGAATTGCAATTCATTCAAATTTGGGCAGACTGAATGATCATTCGAATTCCTGAACTTTGAGCCAAAATACAGCTGAATCACAAAAACAAATGAAACGCACAAATCCGTGCATGTTCCTATTGATTTGTGATTCTGAATTCCAAAAAAATGAAATGATTGATGGGAAAAAAAGACGGTTAAGAGACAACCACTAAATGTTGATTATATTTGCAAATCTTATAAGAAGTGACGAAGAGAGGAAAAATAAAGAATAGCAAAGAAAAAAAATATATATTATATATTATTTTTAATAAATATATAATATATAAATATAGAACATTTTAATTTATTATTATTTATTTTTTTTACTGCTAATCTTCTTTTTTCCTCTATTGGTTACTTTTTCTAATTTTATTTATGGACTAAAACATGCCTATCAGTGTACTGAAAAATATTTGCATAATATTTATATTACGTATATATTTAGCAGAACACTAATTCATCCATTCTCGCACCTTTTGGTTCATATGATTAGCTTTTTTTGTTTGCAAAATTTAACTAAGAGAAGCTCCATTAGGATGAGTTTTTCCATCTCCCAAAAAATTAAGTGCCTCCATTTTATTCTCCATCGTCGATAATGCAGTTTACCCCTCTGTGGAATTCTTTTGATTGATGGAATGGAGGTAAATCAGCTTATCAACTGAAATGAAACTTTTTAAGTTCCACTCATTGCCAAAATTTTCTATAGATCATGCTCCGCTAAGAAAAAAAAGTTCATACTTTTTCTCATGTATAACTTAAAAATCAAGATGGATTAAAAAAGAATAATAAAAAAAAAAAGTGAAAATTGACACAACTATTTAAAAAAAAAAATCAAAAGGTGGCATTTATGTTGTAAATCTACGGCACACCAGAGCCAATAAGAGCCTGGTATGGTATATACATTATATGGTACACCTGTCCACTGGCAACAAATTCTACACATTTTATTAGCACCTTTTCTTGAGACATGCTGTTTTATACATTTCCCTTGCCTTTACAGACAAATCCTTGTAAAATTTAGAGAAATCCATCAGAAATACCTTTTTATATTTGCCATTTTGCTAACTTTACCTGCTTATAACAATGCAAATCCATTGCGCTGTTCACTCAAGTGAGAAATTCAAAGTTGGAAGCTTCACTGAAGGCTCTTTTTTGTGTCTAAATGTTGCCTTTCAAATGGATTTAGTAATATCTCTATTGGAAGCATTAGGGGTGTTGATACAAATTGTCTATTTCATACCCTAGTCGCAATCTGCTAAAAGCTTTATGGAAATATAGTTATTAAGCAGGTCACATAATAGAGGTTTTACTTCTTGAAAGTACCGCTGGAAGTACAAATGTAATTTTTTACTAACAAAATCGCAGGAAGTCACAATACCCTTGCAGTTGTAACAGTGGAAAATAGCTTTCTATTCTCCTACACAATAATGAAGGGACATATTGTTATTAAAGCACTATAACGACTGCTGCCCACTGTGGTACCATCCCAGAGCACTTTGTCAAACCATGGTATAAGGTTTGATAACTTCCCTGAGTGCCTGAACCACATTGAGTCTTCTCTTGCAGAAGACGCTGGATGTCTTCATAACACTTAGCATAATCAGTATAGGACAATGCTCCTTGCACTCAGCTGACACTTTCAGCCAATGGTACTCAGCCAAATCTCTTAGCTAGCCTTTTATTGCCCTGCTTAGCTCCTGCAAGGAAATTCCATATACAGGGCAGCAGCTGTGTGACCCAGGTAAGTTGTGAAACCATTCTGGCACAATAATCACCTCCACAGTGGACGGTAAAGGTTATAGTGTTTGGATCATCCCTTTAAGCTTTTATTTTTGTATATTTTGCTGTTCTTGTGAGTGGAAAGTTCATTTTTCTCCCATTCAGCAGAATTTGGTAAAAAAACTTGATACTTAAAAAAAATAGAAAACACATCTCTTAGTCACCATTACCTGATAGACCAAGGGTGCTCATAATATAAGTCCAAGTTAAGAAAGCACCACAGAAACTGTAGTTCTAGCTAAGAATCTTTCTTTTTGGCCACATGTTATTTAGATCATTGAGCAGAAGTGGTACACAACCATTAACTCCAGGTTCACTTGGTCTAAAGACTAAATTATTTTGGTTGCAGCAGACTCTAGTAAATTCTACTATTTTACCTCTTCTGAAAGGAATGGCAACAATTAATTGTGTTGTTTTTTTTTTAATGAAACATTGAAACCATTTGAAGGACCATTAAACAATACAATTTCCTTTGACAGTTACATTAAAACATCTCTTACAATACTGGACTCATGCTGATTTCATCATGGTCAAAATTCGTTTTTGAAAATAATGAGACATCAAGCTTGATTTGGGTTGTTTATTGAACAGAAAAGGCTGGAATGTAGCATGATAGAATGTGGTTGAATGGTGGTTTTAAATAGATATAGATGAATAAATAAATGATGAGGTAAAAGAACATAACTGAGTGGCTGGAGTTTTTTTAGCTGTTATATATTGGGTGACTGAGTTACGTACACTAACAAATTATACTGAGAATAAAGGCGATGTGGCAGAGGAGGAAAAATATCCCACAGAGCAATGAGCAGGTACCTAGTTTGGTCCCTCTCCCCCTACATTCTTCACATACAGTGAGTAAAAAAAATATTTGATCCCCTGCTGATTTTGAACATTTTCCCACTGACAAAAAAAATGATCAGTCTATAATTTTAATGGTAGGTGTATTTTAACAGTGAGAGACATAATAGCAAAAAAAAAATCCAGGAAAACGCATTTCAAAAAAGTTATAAATTGATTTGTCAACTCGAAGCTTCAGCTCCCTCCACAGATTTTTTATGGGATTATGGTCTTCTTAATGGGCGTCTTCTTGAGCCACTCCTTTGTTGCTTTGGCTGTGCCTTTTGGGTAATTGTCATGCTGGAATACCCATCCACAACCCATTTTCAATGCCCGGGCTGAGGGAAGAAGGTTCTTACCCAAGATTTGACGGTACATGGCCCGGTCCATCGTCCCTTCGACATAGTGCAGTTGTCATGTGCCCTTAGCAGAAACTCCCCCCCCAAAGGATAATGTTTCCACCTCCATGTCTGACAGTGGGGATGGTGTTCTTGGGGTCATAGGCAGTATTCCTCCTCCTCCTCCAACCACAGCGAGTTGATGCCAAAGAGTTCGATTTTGGTTCAAAATCAAAAGGGTATCAAATACTTTTTTCCTCACTGTAGAAATGGTTACTGGGGTCACACAAATAAGTGGATCCAGAGCCCCTGCCTAACCTCGAGGTTGTAGATGGTTGCATAGGGTTGTCTTATGCTAAATCCTGCTCTGATAGCTGGTATTAGTGGGTTCTTTATCATGGCATAAGGTGGCATGGAGAAATTCTGGTAAAGTTGAAATAAAACTTGAAAGAACAAATTAATGGTTGTTTTTGTTAATAATACTACCTTACTATTTCATCGTTGTACTTATGCAGGTAAGCAACTAAATTGAATTGGTGAAAATGTTTAAAAGACAACATAAATACACGATGATGTGCATGACACAAGAACCACAGTTAATGAGAGGAATTCCCCATGACCCCTGGACACCTGATAAAGGGTGAACATGAGCTCTGCCAATGAACTTGGGGGCTGGACAAGAGGGGATACAACATTGCAAGTTTGAGGTATGCGTTATAATGGGGGTGGGGGGGGTTCACCAGTCAAGTCTGATTTAGTTTTCCTCCCACCCGCCCATTGTTCAATTTGTAGTTGTTGTACTTTTCTTTGTGTGTGTTTGTTTATGTTTTGTCACAGCAGGTGGTATTCTTTGTCAGCAAAGTAGAAATAGACCTGATGTGCTGAGTCGACTAGGGGAATTGCAGTCTGTTGAGGGCCGATGGCAGTGGGCAGACTGTAGTGGACTCATGGAGACGAAATGTGTGTTAGGTAAAGTTCCCAATGACTGGCAGATTGTTAATAATTTTAATATTGGTATGTTTCTAAGTTCAGTAAAGCTGTGTATGCTGCCCTTATCCATATAACGATGTTTCTGTTTGTTATTTTGAGCAACGAGGTTGGGCAACTGTGTATGGGGGTCAGCAGTCATGTTTAAAGAATAAATACCTTACAAGGCTATACTGAGAAAATTCAGTGTGACATAAAAGGTTTGCCCTCCTATTCAGAGTAGATTTTTGTGGAAGATTATCCATATTTTACATAGGTGTTGTTTTTTTTTTTTTTTTTACCAAAAAGTGTTCTTAACACTCCAAGGCCTTGTCCTTAAATTATTTAGTTATAGAAAACATATTGCATAGATTAATACTATGCTGTAGGTGAATGGACTGTAGCAAGGCAAGGACATTTATATGACTACCAAATCAATCAGGAAACACCATGCACAGCTCAGTCTGTATCTTGGGATTTAATTCAGAAAATAGCACTAATCCTACTCTTATGGGCACGCTTACAGAGAAAGTTAGGCCGCAGTCCTTGAGACTTCAGCTAAAGTGAGATGTGTCATCACGTAATGTCATTTACATTCTGTCCTGACTATAGCGAAGATTTTATCTGCCAGCAAAAGTATATAAGGAACATTTTGTAGCACAACTGAAGCCATTAAGATTTGAATTTAGCTTCATGTTGTTGCAATGTGAAGTTGTTCTTTTATATGCCCCATTGATCTGTTGTTTGAAACCTGACATAAAAAATACACAAGGCAGTTATATAAGGCTGTTTGCAGAAATGACTATTCTAGATGTGATTTATGAAATCTGAGCACTAACTAAATGGTTCTGCTGCCTGTCTGAACACAATGTTGTTTTTCTTTTTCCCCCAGAAAATCTGTCCTTTTACCACTCATCCACTGAAGACATTTGTCTGCTGAGAAAATAGACTCTGACAGCAAAGGTCATTGCAACCAATTCTAAGTCTCAGAATACAAATATCCCTTTTAACTGTTGGCTTCACAACTGACCGTGTCCCATTATTGATAAATCCTTGAAAAGAGTCTAATGTATCTTCATTTCGGAAAACAACTGCATTCAAGGTTGCCATAAAAAAATGTAAGCTGCCTGCATAGTAAAGAATTTTATTTTTTTTAAATGGCAGTCAGCTCAGTCAGATTAAAAGATAATAACACTCCTATTAGAATTTCGGAGCTATGCTGTATTGATCTCATCAGGAAGAACGTTGCAGGTCCGATAAGACCAGAACAGTTTTCGAATTAATCACCGAGTGTGCTGCTTTTTTTTTATTATGGTGCACTGGACTGCTAATTCAAATCACTTAGTTCGCAATATTTATGGTTCTTATTGGTTTTGATTATTAAGTACAAGTATGTCTCTCGTTGTCTGGTCCTGCTGTGTTAAAACACAAAGTCATTCTTCAAAAGTAAATCTTATCTAAACTATGCACACAAAACCAATTACGTTTTAATTTACATTTTAATTTCACATTCTACTTTCCCCCTTAACACGCAACAGCCTCTGTCGGCCCCGTATTTCTCCTGGATTAACTGGCATAGACACGTAAGTTACATTTTCCAGTTGCGCGTAGATGTCTTGGGCATATTGATGAATGCATGGATGAGAGAAGCATCGTTGATTGACTGAGAAAAATGAGACGCCTTGGTAAAAAGAAAACAATACGTGCAAATGATCTGTAACCTGTTTAGATACAGAGGACAAATTACAAAAATTATGATCGTGTTGGATTTATTTTATAAAGATAAATAAAAAGATATAAAAACAAATACATAAACATCAACTGGAATAAAAGCTCTACAATGAAGATTCATTCATTCGTTGGGTTACGGATCTCTTTGGAATGCTGAGACTGTTCCGGTGTCTGTAATTACTATAGTCAGTATTCTCTCAGTTGTATACAATCTCATTTTCACCTTTTTCACATTCATTGGTTACGGATACCTGATGTCCAATGTATTTCAACCACCTGCATCACCGAGCCAATATACAGGTTGCAATTACTGTTCGTTATTGGAAAATTAAAGGGTCGATTCAACATATCAATGCTTAATTTGACATAAAAGGGGATTTTGGAAGGCTCACAATAATATATTTTACCGCCAAAACCATTACCTCCTGTCCACAGTCTTTCATGTTATTTTCTGCCCAGTCACTTCAAGAGCCTGACACAAGTTGGTCACTGTGAATTTGACAATTACATGGTCCCCTGCTGATGAATCTGGCTAAGAAATCACTCTTCGCTTCACAGTTGACATACAGACGTACAAGAGCTACAGAGCATGCCTATTAACAGGAAAAGTTATGCCTATAGCATAACAATACAACGATATATAATATTTTAAATATTCAATAGGGAAAGCTAAACATTAAGAATGTAATTTAAGCTCCTAGTTAAATATGCCTACTTGCTATTTACATGCATTTTTATTGTTTTTTGTTAAATTGAAACTGGGCACCTATGAGTGACCAAGTCAACATATTCTTACCCTCAAAATGTTTTTGAACATATGCCTCCCTCTGTCACATAAAGCGATAAACTAGTCTAACTAAAAAAAAAAAAAATAGAAGCAGCAATAAAACAAATTAGGCTATTTAATTTACAAAAAGCCAATGTACTGCAGTGATGCACAATGGATACATTACAAAATTCTAGTGAGAGTCGCAACACCATCATTCACAATCTACTTTGGAGCAGTGGTACCCAACCCAGTATAGTCATCTGTAAGCCCTAATAGTGACACCTGAGAGATCTCATAGTGACTTGGACCTTATTTTATTTTATTCTGTTTTATTGTTAAGTGAATTTTTTCATGTTCATCGTCCTGTTCCTGAACCAGAGGGATTCTATTCATCATCCTGGACTCAGTGCACTCACGTTATTATATGCAAGATCTTCACTTCTATCTTGTGAGTGCATTACAAATAAAAGGTATTACTTTTAATATGTGTTTGTCTCTCTGTATATCTCTTTTTAAGGGATTAAAGTGAAGAAACAGAGGTCCTTCATGTTAAAGATACTTTTTTACACCTACAATCATTTGCTTTCTTGTGAGTGCAATATGATTATCGGCGCTAACACTGTTTTGAAAATACTACACCATTATTGTTTTTTTTTATTGTTTTTTATTTTTTGATTGTATTTTTATATATTTGTGTCAAGAAGACGGGAGGGGTCTTCTTACAATCTATAATAAATTTTTTAGGTAATTTCTATCCATTATTTTTTCACTTTCTTGCGTACATGTGTGTTATATATAATTTTAGTATTGACAGTATAGTCATGGCTTGATAATTGTAGCCTATATTTAGCAATTCAGCTTCCAGCTTATGATGTTAGCTAGTGAACAGAATAGATAAAATATATCTATATCGGCATATTTTAGCATAGAATTGAGCTAGATTTAAAAAAAGAAAAATGTCAATCTAGCACGATCATGGGATTAACATATGTGGCCTTATTAGTAAAAATGATACTATAGGAAACTACAATACATTCTCAACAGAAAGACTGCAAGAAAACATATGTTTACAACAAAACTATATAGAATAGGCCACAAAAATCAGCTTGTCCAAACCAGCTCTAATGTACATAGCTGGCGTGAAAGTAGTCACATTTGCAAAGTCTCAAATATCCGGTGCAACAGCAGAAGTATGTAAATTTCAGGTTAAATTCAGAATTACTGAATCAGCTAGTTTAAAAAGTTCCTCACCTTGATAACTTTAACGGACCCACCTGTATGGAATGTAATACCTTTGTAACATGCAATTCCCTCCGCTGCAAGACGAGAAGTGACAATTCAGCATAAGTTGAAAGCAAAAGTGATTCGACAGAATATGGTAAAGCAGCCATTTCAGTGCTGTTGGTTTGAAGAGTCTTTTTAGGGCAATACTGATCAATGAGATACTTGAGTACAGAATGTAATTTTACTGGAATTGATAACTAGGGAATGAATACACGCTAAAAAAAAAATAATCCCAAGATGGCAACACTACTTCTTTTTAATTAACGTGATAGAGAATTTCACTTGCATCCTGCCCAATTTTTGCCTAAAAATTCCCATCTTGAATTTAATCACTTGCAAAAAATAAAACAGGGAGATAATTATTTACATATCAAATTCTGATGTTTTGGTCCCAAACAGTGAATGAGTTTCTGATTAAAAAAAAAAAAGGCAAGCGGAGATTTCAATAACAGCGTAAATCTACAATCCATATATTGAAAAAAAAGAAGGAAGCATTATTTTATGTGAAGGCAAAAACTCAATTCTTTTCTACAGATGTATAGATTTAAAGGCTACTCCAAGCACTGTTAGCACAATGATCACTTCAGTGATTTGAAGTGGTCATGGTGCCTGAAGTCTGTATGTGCAGCGTTTTGCTTTGAAATGCTGCACATACAGAGATTAATCCCTTAGCTGCCGGAAGTGTAACCCCACCTCTGACAGAGTCATTAGCAAGCCCAGAACAAAGTTCTGATCTGGCTAATGTCAACTCTGTGACGGCATCATGGTACCATATAGCCAGTTCTGGCACAGTCCCCCAGCCCGTGTTCCTACTTTCCTCCCCCCAGTCCACCATCCATGATGTCCCTCTTACTCCAGCGTGGAGAAGTGACGTCTGTCAAGGAAGATTGAGCTGAGGGAGAACCTGGCCTTGGCTCTGGAAAAAAAAAGCAAGTGTAAGCTATTTTTGTTAAAAAAAAAATGCTGTTGGCATTTTGGGGAAGCATGCCCCACAGAAAGTTTTACCAGAACTAAAACTAGTGGTTCATGTTGGTACCAATGACAAAGATAAAGGAAGATGAAAGGTCCTAAAGAATGATTTCAGGGAATTAGGTAGCAAACTTAAGAAAAGGACCTCCAAGGTGGTATTCTCTGAGATATTACCTGTGCCACGTGCTACCTCTTTATAAATTGCTGGTAAGACCACATATTGAATATGCTGTGCAATTTTGGGCACCTGTTCTAAAGAAGGGTATTATGGCACTAGAAAGAGTGCAGAGGCGGGTTACAAAATTAATAAAAGGAATAGAACATTTTAGCTATGAAGAAAGAAAAACGTCGCCTTAGACGGCATGTGATAACATTATACAAATAAATTTGTGGCCAATACAAACCATTGTGTGGAAATCTATTCACAAACAGGACTTTACATAGGACACGAGGTCATGCGTTTAGACTGGAAGAAAGAAGATTTAGTCTAAGGCAAAGGAAAGGATTTTTTACCATAAGAACAATAAGGATATGTAATTCTCTGCCTGAAGAGGTGGTTTTATCAGAGTCCGGACAGATGTTTAAACAGCAACTAGATGCATACTTGCAAAAACAGAATATTCAAGGATATGATTTTTCAATGTAGTGTAAATGCTTCAAACTTTTCAAAATTGAAAGTGCTTCAAACTGGGTTTTGCCTTCTTTAGATTTAACAGCAAAAAAGAAAAGTTGAGCAAGGCTGAACTTGATGTTTCTTTTCAGCCTATGTAACTATGTAACTATGAAACGGGCTGGAATAAACCTTGAGGAAAATATTATGCCTTTATATTTCATTCCTGCAGATCATTGATATTCATTCTTTCACTGTCCTGCTGTCTGAGAATTATTCTAAGGGATTTATTCAATAAAACAGTGAATCACAGTAAATTGAAAACTAAATTGTAAAATGTAGGCTAAAACAGATGATATCAAAAATGTCTTCAACTCAGTTATTGCTAAAACCTTTGCAATATGATTTTCAGTTGACAGTGATTATTGAATATATTGCCATGATTATATAGCCATGCTTGTCTTCAAATAATTCATTGACAATGTGCTTTCCAGTTTGTCTTTTTATTATGGTTATATATGTATTAAGGTTGTACTTTGTTAACATAATGGTTTTTTTGTCTGCTTAATGGTCATTTTTGACGTAACACCTTCTATCAACAGTTTTCAGTGTGTAGACTAATATCTAAAGTGTTAATTTTTTTTCTGTTAAGTATAAAATAACACAAAAAAAATAGCTTTGGTATAAATTGGATCTTATTAATAAGAATGTAGGCCAGTTACATCCCAATGTAACACCGTCTCTTAGTTCACTTACAATAATTATT